GGTGGATGGCGGAGCCAGATCTGCTCGTGAAGGCTGCCCTGAAGAAAGGCAGTCGAGAAGTCAAGTGAGTGGAGCTCGTAGTCGCGTTGTGCCGCGATGTGCAGCGGTACCCAAATAGTGGTCAGTTTTGGGGTGGGGGAGAAGGTCTTAGTGGATATCCAAGATGTCAAGTGAAGGCTACCCCGAAGAAAGGCACTCAAGAAGTCAAGTGAGTGGAGCTCGTTGTCGCGTTGTGCCGCGATGTGCAGCAGTACCCGAATAGTGGTCATTTTCGGGGTGGGGGAGAAGGTCTGAAAGAAGTCAACCCCCTCTCTCTGACTAAATCCTCTCGCCACATACAGGCGGTGCTCCAAGTGGACCTTGACGATCCACATGCCATCGACAACGTTCGCCCAGGGAAGGGGAACTGCGTCGACGTAGGTCCCAGTGGATCTCCAATATGTCATCCCTGCGTCCATGGCTGCTACCCACTGAGAGGCATAGGGTCCCGAAGACTGCCTCAGCTTGGGTGCGAGCGGTCGGGATGTCCAAAGCTTCTAGAATTCCCATAGAGGCTAGCAGCATGGTGCAGAGATGAGGAGCAGCAGCCGCAAGGAAAGCTAGCCTGTCCTCTAGGACGTCACTACCAAGAGCAGGAGCACCCCCGACGTATGGAGGATGGGCTGCAACAGAGACCAACTGAGTGGCGTAGTCAAGGCGGCAAGTGGAGGCAAAGCCAGCAACAGCGGCGATAAGAGCAGAGAGGGACGACGTAGGAGCAGTAGGGTCGGTGACGAGGGAGGAAAGATCGCGGAACACCATAGGGCGAGCGGCACAGAGGAAGTCATAGAACGGAGTAGAGGAGACAATAAGAGACGACGGAGGAGGCGACCGGGACGAGAACGGGAGGATTATAGAGTGGATACCGAGAACGGGAGACACTGAGCGAGCACCAGGGGGACGACGGATCCAGGAGTGGGAGGTTGGAGACGCGTCAAGAGACAGAGGAGAAGACGTATGGGAACAAGGAGGAGAATGAGCCGGAGATGAGACCGAGGGAGGAAACGTGGGACCGTAGACAGGGGGAGACGGCGAGGGGGGAACAGTCGATCGGTCAGTCGAGGGCAAGAGAGACTGGTCAGGCGAAGAGCAGACACATGCGGCGTTGACGGTTGCTGCGGCAATGGCTGCTGCTGCTGCGGTGGCTGATGCTGCACCGGACGTCCCGTGCCAGCGGCACCCCCAGAACCAGTACCTTCTGCGGTAGCACCCCAAGAGCAAGTACCCCCAGTGTCAGCGCCCCCAAACCAAGCACCCCCAGAACCAGCACCCCGAGCGTCCACAGTAACCGGCTAAGGCGACAACGAAGGCTCCTGAAGCGACTGCGAGGATGACGCTGGCGACGGCAGAGACGACGACAGCCGCTGGCAGGGAAGGCGAAGGGGACGACACAGGAGGCATACCCCCATGTAACGGGCCCCGAGAGTAAGCAGTCTCCCCACAGGCCCAACCGAGGGAAAGGAGGTAACGTGCGACACACCAGACAGGGCAAGACGCGGTGGCAAGGGAGCAAGCTGATGTGTGGGACCAGGGGGAGGCGTGGGAGCGAGAAAGAGGGGAGGGGGGAGAACTGGGGTACGTCGGTGAGGGAAGTGGGTGTAGAAACAGTCAGACTCGCCAAAAGTGACGCCACGAGAGTGGAAGAAACGATGAGACGAGGGTGTCGTAGAATATTCATTCAGAAGCATCGAGAGGGAAACCAAGGAAGACACACCGGATAGTACGAGTTGTAAGCTTATCCGCACGAGTGTCGCGGACGTGAGCAAGGCAGCCCCAGAATCGAAATGCAGGCGCAGCCACCAAGGGACCCAATCCAGAGGAGGGTCGGCGAAACCCGCGGTCGTGAGGCACGGGGCCACATGTTAAGCTGGTGCGTGGAGTAACGGACTTCAAACAGCCACAGAAAACTGGGGGCACTGGCATGAGTCATGGAGGTACAAACGATCTTATCCTCGCTGAGCTATGTGGTGCCTTAGATGGAGATGCTCAACGATGTTCGTGCTACACCCAAAGTGGAAATATGGTTCAACACACTCTATGCGACTGGAGAGGAGGACGAAGAAGGTTGCATAGTTTTTTTTACGACGACGACTTCACTGATATGTTGGATTAGACCACGACGAACCACAAACAGGGAGAACACACATTTACGGGGACCCCTTGATTGATGCATGGTTTGTACGGTATGTTAGTACATAGTAATTAGGATCTTAATCTGTGGGAGCATATAGTTCTGATAACTATAATCCATTTGTTTCTCATGCAGGGTAGTCGTAGCAAAGAAGAAAGAAGGAACACCACGCAAAATATATGGGGCCTTGATCAGTAACTGCCAGAATAAATTACCCACTACGCGCATATAAGACCCTCGGGACCCTCATGGCATGTTCTTCAACTATACGGTAGTATGAAAATGAATATATTCCAGAGGTGATCCAGTAGTTTTCTTATGCTGGTCGTTAATCGAATTTCTCAACAAGGAATTCTTTCGGGTGATCAAATTCAGTTCTGGATTCAAAATTCCTCCAATCCCTCGGCTACCTCGCTAGGGAACAACGCTCCTGCTTGGTCTGTTCTTCACCAAGCAAGCTGTAACATTCGGACCCAACCCCCACCTGGTCTCGATACGTCGAACCAGCTGTGAGGGGGAAACAAGGGGAGAAATATGATTGGTTGGAGTTTGATTGGAAGCGTGAAATTTGGATTTGACTTGATTGAAAAACTAGCCAATCAGAACTCTGCTGTACAATTGTGATAGAACTTACGCGATAGGTTTGAAAACAACCCACGTAAGCTCAAACATCACCCTTGCCCAACCAATCAGAGCATACTCACACAAAGTGAGTCGACGGAACTTCCGCCGCTGGTTGGAAATTGAATCAATCAGAAACAGCCAACCTAAATCCAACTCGACTCTTCCTTGAAATTGCAACCAATGGAACAACTCAGGTTTGTGATAAGTATGCATTGTTATCCTTGCTGTCTATTGTCTAATTGGTTGGAAACCCCAACCATTGCCACATGGGCAAAGACCCATGGTGGTGCACCCTTCCTTGCCATGGGGAAGGTGGCTGCACCCCAAGGGGGTCTAGGGAGGGGTCTGAGCCAAGCTAGCTAATTCTTCACTTCCTATCCCCAACTAATCAATTGGGAAATAGGATTCTTCTTTCATCAACTCACCCTCCAGGATTTGTTACTGCATCTCCCAGCACCTTCCAGACTTAGTCATTTCCAGAAGCTGTTACTCTCTGGTTGTATTAGAACCTATTTATATATGGGTAAATGCCCTTTTACTTAGTAAAAAAAATTAGGATCTTAATATGTGGGAGCATATAGTTCTGATAACTATAATCCATTTGTTTCTCATGCAGGGTATTCATAGCAAAGAAGAAAGAAGGAACACCACGCAAAATATATGGGGCCTTGATCAGTAACTGCTAGAATAAATTACCCACTACGTGCATATACGACCCTCGGGACCCTGATGGCATGTTCTTTAACGATACGGTAGTATGAAAATGAATATATTCCAGAGGTGATCCAGTAGTTTTCTTATGCTGGTCGTTAATCGAATTTCTCAACAAGGAACACTTTCGGGTGACCAAATTCAGTTCTGGATTCAAAATTCCTCCAATCCCTCGGCTACCTCGCTAGGGAACAACGCTCCTGCTTGGTCTGTTCTTCACCAAGCAAGCAGTGCTCCATCCCCTTGTGAGGACGAGGCGCCACGCAATCTAGGTTTCTTTCACGCCGACGGTGCAACCAGACCGTAAAGGCTTGACGAAGAGAGAGCAGCGGGGATGGCGACGACAGCGGAAGGAAAGGCGGCCATTCAGGTACGATGTTATGCTTCTCGGTTCTCCCATTGCCGATCTTCTTCTTTCGGTTGCGTACGTCCAGCGTTCGACTCCTTTTGTTTGAACCAGCTTACGCTTTGGTTACCGCAGTTGGCTTGTGCCGAGAATCCTCAGAACAACCGCGGATGGTTAGATCTGCGGGAACGGTTGCTGGCGAGCGCCGTTACATTGGCACTGATCCTTCATTTGAAGCGTCCCCATTGGTTTCCTAGGACGGATTCAGTGTGGACTCAACACTCACCCGCATCCGCCGTTTCCCACAGTACAAAACGGTCATGCGTGCGATCTGATACTGCATGTATGCGTGCGTCCTATGCATTACCTTGTTGGGCTGTGCGATCGCGAAAGCCACCCATGATCTACAAGACGCGATTCTTCAGTCTGTCACGACCGTGGTTCTTCCGCCGCCGTCTCGTCTCCTCTCTCCCTTCGTCCCTCTCTCCCCTCTCGTCTCCTCTCTCCCCTCTCTTCCCGCCCTCTCCTGCTCACCACTATCCGGGCCCTCGTTTCTTCCTGCCTTGTGAGGCTGCTGGTGTCGTCCCTGCTCTACTCATTGTTTCTATCATTGTTCGTACTTATTCTTCAAGTCAAGGCACGCTCTACTCTACCACTCTCCTGGAAGAAGCACAGAGCACTTGTCTTCCCTAAACTAGTCAACTTCACCCATGTGCCTCCCTCCTCAGTGCTTGTGGTGGGAAACAAGGCGTTAAACAGCAGGGTATGCATGGCGTTTTGTGAATCGACTTAAAATCCGCTCCATCCCCACATGCCTGTCTGTGTGAGAGCAGAAGGCGAAGGTGTTCATGGTGGGAGCGGGGGGGATCGGATGCGAGCTGCTGAAGACCCTTGTCATGACTGGCTTCCATGACATCGAATTGGTACGTGCCGTTTTTTTATATTTTTTTTTGTATATTAATACATAATTTGCCTACCTTTGGTGTATCTGTTCTGTGTCAAGTATTACATTAACGATTCATGGTTCCCCTGCAACTTTCCCTTCTCCTTCCCGTCACCCCATAACCTTCTCACACCCCACACTGCTGGTTGTTACCCCACTGCTCGTCGCCGTCCCGCCCCCCTCCTGCTTGCCTTTTCGACTGTCAGATTGACCTGGACACCATCGACGTGAGCAATCTGAACCGTCAGTTTCTCTTCCGCAAGCGACATGTGGGACAATCCAAGGCCAAGGTACAGCTTTCAAGGGCCCAGGGATGGCTGCTGCATGAGGGGTTAAAGGAGGCAGTTATTCAAGATACCAGTTATCAGGGAAGGTTTTTGAGTCTTCTCAAAAAGCGTGGTGGGAATTAGCACAACAGTTATCAGGGAGTATGGAAACAGATGGGGCCAGCAGGCGGTGAAAAGACGCAGAGAGTGCTGGGGAGATGTGGGAGGTGGGGAGACCGGTCAGTGGTGTTGCTTGGCATGGTGTGACATAGCATGGAGTAGTAACGCCCCGTACATCGACATAATCTCGTGGAATTCATGCTTCTATTCATGCCATGATGTGTCACTATGGTGGTTGTGTTACTGTGGTTTGACGTCTCCTTCTCCCCCCCTCCCCTATATTGCCCTCCTCGTCCTGCCCTCCACTTGTCTTTCTCCCGCGCCCCCCATCCCCCCGACCCCCCACCTCTCTGCTCTCTAGGTGGCCCGGGAAGCAGCAATGGCCCTGTGCCCATCCGCCTCCATCACAGCCCACCACGGCAGCGTGATGCAGCCGGACTTTGACATTTCCTTCTTCTCCTGCTCCTCTAATCCCCTCCTCTTGCTGACCTCCGCTTGTCGTCCTGCTTCCCCCACACCTCTGTTCTCCGCAGGTGGCTCGGGAAGCTGCAATGGCTCTATGCCCGTCCGCATCCATCATAGCCCACCACGGCAGCGTGCTGCAGCCGGACTTTGACGTCTCCTTCTTCTCGCGCTTCTCCCTCGTGCTCAACGCCCTTGACAACCTCCCTGCGCGCCGCCACGTCAACCGCATGTGCCTTGCGGCCGGCGTGCCACTCATTGACAGCGGCACCACGGGGTTCCTTGGCCAGGTGGGTTGGGCGGGGGGGTGGGAGGAAGAGAAGAGGGAATGGGGGGGATGGGTGTTTCTGGGTTGGGGAGAATCTTGGTGCACTGCAGGGCAGGACAGGCAGCACAGGACAACACGGGCAGCACAGGACAACACGGGCAGCACAGGACAACACGGGCAGCACAGGACAACACGGGCAGCACAGGACAACACGGGCAGCACGGGAACACGGCAGCACGGGCAACACGGGCAGCACGGGACAACACGGGCAGCACGGGACAACACGGGCAGCACGGGACAACACGGGCAGCACGGGACAACACGGGCAGCACGGGACAACACGGGCAGCACGGGACAACACGGGCAGCACGGGACAACACGGGCAGCACGGGACAACACGGGCAGCACGGGACAACACGGGCAGCACAGGACAACACGGGCAGCACAGGACAACACGGGCAGCACGGGACAACACGGGCAGCACGGGACAACACGGGCAGCACAGGACAACACGGGCAGCACAGGACAACACGGGCAGCACAGGACAACACGGGCAGCACAGGACAACACGGGCAGCACAGGACAACACGGGCAGCACAGGACAACACGGGCAGCACGGGACAACACGGGCAGCACGGGACAACACGGGCAGCACGGGACAACACGGGCAGCACGGGACAACACGGGCAGCACGGGACAACACGGGCAGCACGGGACAACACGGGCAGCACGGGACAACACGGGCAGCACGGGACAACACGGGCAGCACGGGACAACACGGGCAGCACAGGACAACACGGGCAGCACAGGACAACACGGGCAGCACGGGACAACACGGGCAGCACGGGACAACACGGGCAGCACGGGACAACACGGGCAGCACGGGACAACACGGGCAGCACGGGACAACACGGGCAGCACGGGACAACACGGGCAGCACGGGACAACACGGGCAGCACGGGACAACACGGGCAGCACGGGACAACACGGGCAGCACGGGACAACACGGGCAGCACGGGACAACACGGGCAGCACGGGACAACACGGGCAGCACGGGACAACACGGGCAGCATGGGGCAGCACGGGACAACACGGGCAGCACGGGACAACACGGGCAGCACGGGACAACACGGGCAGCACGGGACAACACGGGCAGCACGGGACAACACGGGCAGCACGGGACAACACGGGCAGCACGGGACAACACGGGCAGCACGGGACAACACGGGCAGCACGGGACAACACGGGCAGCACGGGACAACACGGGCAGCACAGGACAACACGGGCAGCACGGGACAACACGGGCAGCACGGGACAACACGGGCAGCATGGGACAACACGGGCAGCATGGGCAGGATGGGGGAGCCCAGAAGCATGTTAAGGGTTTTCTGAGGGAAAATGTTGGATAGGTGATAGGAGGGAGAAAGGGGAATTTCCTTATGGGGCATGGTCAAATGAGGCTTCTTTTATTAAGCCTGTGATGGCATGCCCTTATATCTGCACGCTGCAGCTCTTTCTAGCATTGCTTTTCAATGTACCCTTTCCCTCCCTGACGCACACTGAAACTGTCCATCTTGTGCTCTCCCGCTCCCTCTCGTTTCTGCCCCTGCTCTCTTCCAGGTGACAGTGCATGTGAAGGGCGTGAGTCAGTGCTATGAGTGCACCCCCAAGCAGGCCCCCAAGTCCTACCCCACGTGCACCATCACCAACACTCCTTCCAAGGCAAGCACACACCTCATGCTCAAGCTCTCCCAGACTCGTTTCATATGTAGATTTATGTACTCATTCACATCACATGCACAGCATCGCAGCATGTTTCGTTCACAAATCATCCCGAGTCTTGTCACATCACACGGAGGATCTTCTCAGCATTTTTGGCTCCTACTCCGCTGTCTCTTTTCCTGTTCTCCCTAAATGCCCCACGCACATCAGCCTGTGCACTGCATTGTGTGGGCCAAGGAGCTCCCATTCGTGGCTCTCTTTGGCCCCCGGGGTCAAGCAACGGACCTCCACGCCCAACCTTCCACCACTTCCTCTGCTCCTCCAGCTGCTGCTGGTGATACCGCTGCTGATGGCCCCACAACCACAGGCACTGCTGCTGCGGCAGATGCTGATGCTGCTGCTGGTGCCTCTGCACCCGCTGATTCTCAAACGGAGAACGGTGTAAGCAGCAGTGTGGAACAGAGTGAGGAAGAGAGGAGGAAGAAGAAGCAGGAAGAGGAGGCAGCGGCAGCAGCTGCAGAGAAGGAAGAGCGGGAGTTTTTCACTCGGAGGGAAGGGGAGAGCGGGCGTGCGTTCGCATGCCGTGTGTTTGACCGGATATTTGGGGACAACGTGGCAAGGACTCTCCAGATGGACGATATGTGGAAGCACAGGGCTCGCCCCACGCCCTTGTACCTCAAGGACGCGTTTCCTGCAGGAGTGGAGGAGAGCGAGGAGGCGAAGGAAGGGAAGGAGGGGAAGCGGGTGTCAGCGATGGCGAGGCTGGGGTGGAGGGACGTGCAGAAGGTGTGGAGTGTGCAGGAGAACGCACGGGTGTTCCTCAAGGCTGTTGAGCTGTTTGTGGAGGAGCGCACAGAGGTGAGAGAGAGGCGCGAGGCATGGTGATGCATTCGCAGTCATGCTGACTTTGCAGGGCGCCTAGAAAGAGGACTTTATAGGCGCCTTATAAGTCCTCAAGGCCGTTGAGCTGTTTGTGAAGGAGTGCGCAGAGGTGAGGAAAAGGTGAGGGATCGCCACACAGGCAAGGTGGGGAACATTGATTTCCGTTCGATTCGACGAGACATCTGAAAACTCTCTTCTTTCCTCCAACCCGCCTCTCCCCTAAACCCCGCCCCCCCCAAAAAACCACCCAACCTACTACTGGGAAAAAGCCCCACAACACCAGACCTGACAGGAGCTAGGGTCTCTGACCTTTGACAAGGACGATGAGTTGGCAGTGGAGTTCGTGACAGCCGCTGCCAACCTGCGCATGCACTCCTTCGGCATACCCCTTACCAGCCTGTTTGCCGCCAAGGGCATCGCAGGGAACACGGAGTCGTCTCAAAGCTCACTCTTCTTCCTTCCAACCTGTCTCTCCCCTTATCCCCGCCCACCCTCCTCCACCCCACCCACTCCCCTACTGGAAAAATAAAATCCACAACACCACATCTGGCAGGAGCTGGGTTCTCTGACATTCGACAAGGACGACGAGTTGGCAGTGGAGTTCGTGACAGCCGCTGCCAACCTGCGCATGCACTCCTTTGGCATCCCCCTGCACAGCCTGTTCGCCGCCAAGGGCATCGCGGGGAACATTGTGCATGCAGTGGCGACCACGAACGCCATTGTGGCTGGGCTCGTGGTGCTGCAGGCTGTGAGGTTGCTGGAGGAGGAGAGCTACCGCCAGGAGCCACGGTGAGAGGAGACGGGAGAGAGAGGAAGTTTTGGGGGGGTGGGGAAGAAGGGAGGGACTGAAAGCGGGGAGAGGGGGATGCGAAGAGAGGAGAGATGGGGGGTGAGAAGAGAGGGAGGGAAGAGGGTTGCCGCCAAGGGCATAGCGGGGAACATTGTGCATGCGGTGGCGACCACGAACGCCATTGTGGCAGGGCTCGTGGTGCTGCAGGCTGTGAGGTTGCTGGAGGAGGAGAGCTACCGCCAGGAGCCGCGGTGAGAGGAGAGGGGTGAGGGGAAAGAGTTATTAAGGGAAATTCATTGTTCTGAGGGTCAAAATTCATGTCTCGGTTTCCCTGATCCCAACCCGTCCCTCCCTTCCCCACAACCCCGCCCCTCCTTTCAACCCCTATTCCCTGCCACTCCATTTTCACATCCTCCTCATACAGCCAACTTGGAGTTATCTTGTTGGTACAAGGTATCGTTCTTTCCTGTCAGCAAAAGGCCCTCCTCACCCTTCCGCTATTCCCCCTTCTCCTCGCTCTCCTTCCCCATCTCCCCTCCTCCTTCCCCCCCTCTCATGCGCCACCAGCATGGTGTGGTGCACGGAGTTCCCCAGTCAGCGCAAGGCTCTCCTCGCCCCTCTCCTCACCCGCCTTTTCTTTTCACATCCTTTCCTCCATCCCCCCTTCTCTCCCATCTCCCCTCTACCTCCCCCCCCTCTCATGCGCCACCAGCATGGTATGGTGCACGGAGTTCCCCAGTCAGCGCAAGGCCCTGCTCGCCCCTCTAGAGATGGACCCACCCAACCCGGCCTGCCACGTCTGCTCCCGGGTAAGCAACGCGCCCTCACTCACTCCTGTGCTCTGCCTACCATTTTCTCATTTCACAGAGTGCACTCGCCAGCCATTTTCTCCACTGTGTGATGCTCGTCGTGCGTGCCGCCGCCCCTCCACGTTCTATTTCTGCCCACTTAGCCACCCCTCAACCGACACCCCCCCCGGCACCCACCCAGACGCCTCTGGTGCTAGAGGTGAACACCAAGACAGCCACCCTGGACGATGTGGTGGAGGGCGTGGTGAGGCGGCAGCTGTCGGTACAACTCGCAGTTGCCCAATTGGATAGCGTATTCTTCCCCGTGCGCCCTCATTAACCCTCCCACCCACTGTCACCCCCCAGCACCCACCCAGACGCCTCTGGTGCTGGAGCTAGACACCAAGACAGCGATGCTGGCAGATGTGGTGGAGGGCGTGGTGCGGCGGCAGCTGTGGTCATACCTTGCAATCGACGTTTCGTATTCGAAAGGAATGTTGCTGCTTCCCTTACCCCCAAACCCGCTGTTTTCCCCTCCGCATCCATCCACCCCAGACGCCTCTGGTGCTGGAGCTAGACACCAAGACAGCAACGCTGGCAGATGTGGTGGAGGGCGTGGTGAGGCGGCAGCTGTCAGCCACCCAGCCCATGGTGATGGTGGGCAGTGGACTGGTGTACGAAGAAGGGGAGGACCTGGAGGAGGATGAGGTGCTGCGATACCGGAAGAACCTGAGCAAGGTGAGAGAGGGGAGAAGGGGGGAGAGGAGTGGTGGATGGTGTGGTGAGGCGGGAGCTGTCGGCCACCCAGCCCATGGTGGTGGGCTGTGGACTGGTGTACGAGGAAGGGGAAGACCTGGAGGAGGATGAGGTGCTGCGATACCGGAAGAACCTGAGCAAGGTGAGAGGCATGGCGAGGGGGGATGGGGGGGGTGTGGGAGTTGAGTAGGAGTCAGGATCAGCTGCGTGGTTGCTTGCTGGTGATGAGGGGTCTACGAAGAAGGGGAGGCTATTTTCCAGTCGACTCAAAAATAAGATCAGCTGCGTGGTTGATGGTGATGAGGGTGTACGAAGAAGGGGAAGACCTGGAGGAGGATGAGGTGCTGCGATACCGGGCTAACCTGGGCAATGTGAGAGGCGTGGGGAAAGAGAGGGGAGAGAGGGGGAGAAGGGGAGAGAGGGGGGGGGGTACGGGAGTTGAGCAGGAGGCTTTACTGCCTTGATACACTTCAGCACATCCTTCTCGCATTATTGCAGTGTATGCCTTGCTTGTAGCAAGTGTACTGTGCTCCTTATGTACACACACACACAAAGCATTACCATCCACATGCCTTTGTCTGTGCCCCCCCAACCATGTGTCTGCACTTGCATGTATGCACACACCCATCACCATCCCCTGTGTTCATCCACTCCCACCCCCACCCAACCCCACCCATCCCCACCCATCCCCACCCATCCCCACCCATCCCCCATCCCCCATCCACACCCATCCTCGTGCATGTGCATGTGAGCAGAAGCTGTGCGAGCTGCCCACGCCAGTGACCTCAGGGGCAGTTCTGACAGTAGAGGACTACCTGCAGCACTTCAAGTGCTCCATTCACATCAAGCACAGGTGAGACCGCCACCAGCCCACACACAGGTGGGCACGTCAAGCATGTCAAGGCACATGCTAGGTCCCTTGCGCTCAGGGTCAGTGCTGACAGTAGACCCATTCACTTCAAGTGCTTCAAGTGCTCCATTCACATCAAGCACAGGTGAGACCATCAACAACCCAAACGCAGTACTGCAGGACTGCAGGACCGCAGGACTGCAGGACCGCAGGCCCGCAGGTTTAGCACTGCACGTCAAGGATTTGTTAGCCTGCTCGGGTTGGCACTTCTTCAATCTCTTGCACGTCCTGACTCTTGTACCGTATCTGGTTTGTTTGCTTCCGTTGGAACCAATTGGCACGTGCTGCCAAAGGCGAGAAATGCAGTGCCATGCCATGGAGTGTTATGCGTTTGTTACTGCATACGCTTGAATCGTAACCTTCCGTGTCGCATCCGCGTTTGTGTCACACAACCTCAGAGAGGACATTAACGAGGAGGATCATCCCGACAAAATGATACTGCACGGCCAGTTGCCAGCGGCAGACACCACCGCTGCTGCTGGGGAGGCTGGAGCAGCAGAGGCACAGAACGGGGAGAAGAAAGAAGGGAATGCAGCAGGAGGGGAGGAGGATGATGACGACGATGATGACGTGGTTCTATTTGAACCTGACGCTGCTGGTGCCGCTGCTGGTGGTGCTGGGGAAACGGTTGGTGAGAAGAGGAAGAGGCGGCGGGAGGAAGAGAAGGGGACGGGGAATGCTGGTGGGGGTGGTGGTGTTGGGAAGAAGGTGAAGGTTGATGTGGTGGAGGTTCTAGATGATTAGCAACGCTGCGTTGAGGCAAATTGTGCGTTACTGGCACACCGAGTATTGAGTCGACTCACTAATCGCCGCAGGGAGTGACGGCACTGGGAAGAAGGTTAAGGTTGATGTGGTGGAGGTTCTAGATGATTAGCAGCGTTGCCAAAGGGGCAGGTTGTGTGTTACTGGCACACCAAATTTTGAGTCGGGTCGGCTCAATGTTTGCAGGAGGGGGTGGTGGTGTTGAGAAGAGAGTCAAGGTGGATGTGGTGGAGGTATTACCGTAGGTGATTAGCAGCTGTGCCTTGTTGCTAGCTGTGCATGTTAGTGGCACACCGATTTCCAGCAGTTTTTTTGCTCTGGTATATGTGCAGTGCAAATGGAATGCACACCTTGTACTTATTTTTTTCCTCTGACGTGTTTCTTTCTCCCTGCCTGTAAATGATAACCATTATGTATTTCAGCACCCTGCAGTCTCATGCCACACCCCGTTTCGACGAGTCCTCACTGGCTGGTCACCGCCGTTATCCCCCCACTCCAGAAGAATCGCTGCGTGAATTCCTCCATCGCCCCACCGCATACTGCGGCCACCGAGTCGTCACTAGGTGCTTGGCCCTTAGGAGAAATGGCCGTAAATCAATAAGAGAGTGACAAATAAAGTGACCCTTGATTTTCTGTTTACTCCCCAACCGTTCTTGTTTCTCATTCCGTGATTCGCGTCAAGTGCCGCCAGGCTCCTAGTGTCTATTTGGCAAATTTTCTCCAACGGCTATTTTCTCGTTTTCACAGACACTGCTAAATCTCTGTGCAGCATTCTCGCTGAAATAAGGCTCTCGCTTAGGACCTCCTTCCTTGCCGAATTAATCCCTCCGCGTCGCACCCCGCGTTGTACGAATTCAACAAAGCGCGGCCTTTTAACTCCCTCGACCCTCCATGGCATTTGCCTTGGCTCACCGCGGTGGCGGCTCGGGCCCACATTTACGGGCCTTGCACTCCCTCACTGCTGCGAGTTCAATCCCGTTGCATCAGAGATTTGATTCGTCCCAGGATTCTCGATCGTATCCTGTCCCCGCTGCCAGCACCGTCTCTTGTCGCCTGATGTCGCAGCTGCGTGTCTCATCGTTTCGCGGTCGCATGGCGCCTGCGACAACGTCGCTTCAATCGCTGCCGTCGCTGCGTTCACACACCAGCTCGTTTCGGGATTCCGCAGCAGCCCTCTCTGGACCAATCGCGTTTCGACACGTGGAAAAGCCTATGGCAGGGCGGTTAATCAGGCTCTGGGATTGGAACGTTACAGGAGGAGGTACGGAGAGGAGAAAGGGGGGAATTGAGGGGAGGGTGGTCAAGGCGGGGGGGAAAGGGGGGGTTGGGGGAAAGGAAAGTGGAAAGGGGTAAGGGGAAGAGGAAAGTGGGGGCGAGTGATAGAGGGGGGAAATGAGGGAGTGATAGAGAAGGGGATGGGAGGAGGGGGAGGGAGGGGGAGGAAGTAGCACAAAGACAGAGGACTGGTTTTTGAGAATTTCAGAAAGGGTCGGCACCATAAAAGAAAGACCTCATTCCCCTAGCTCGCTTTCGCCCAATACCCCTTACCCCTGAGAGAGGTGACTTTTGAATCGACTGAAAATTGGTAAAAAAACAAAACAAAACAAAAAAAACAAAAAAGTCTGGCAGTCAGTCCAGCTCATCTGTCGTTTCCATCCACTCTTCCACTGCCTTTCTCCAGGCATGGGCACAGGCACCGGCATGAGCGGCAGCAACAGCAGGCGTGGCAGGGGCGCGCATGGGCGGTGTGAGGCGAGGGAGGGAGGTGTGGAGGAGGGGGTGCGAATGGTGGCGAGAGAAGGAGGTGGGAGCGGCGAGGGGGAGAGGAGTGGCAGCAGCAGGGGTGTTCTTGCGAGCAGTAAGATCGGCGGCAATAGCACCAGCACCAGCAGCAGTACCAGCAGCAACGGCAGCAACGGCAGCAGCAATGGAAGCAGCACCAAAACCAGCACTAGCAGTAGCAGCATGAGCAGCGGGGGCGGGTGGCACAGTGAAATGGCTTTGGATGACGCACATCCACTGGCAGGTGAGCAGGCTATGAGCAGGTGAGGCAGCAGCAACAGCAGCACTAGCAGCATGAGCAGCACTAGCAGCACTAGCAGCATGAGCAGTGGGGGCGGGTGGCACAGTGAAATGGCTTTGGATGACGCACATCCACTGGCAGGTGAGCAGGCTATGAGCAGGTGAGGCAGCAGCAACAGCAGCACTAGCAGCATGAGCAGCACTAGCAGCACTAGCAGCATGAGCAGTGGGGGCGGGTGGCACAGTGAAATGGCTTCGGATGACGCACATCCACTGGCAGGTGACCACCCTCTCCTCTCCCCGCTTGGCCCTTTCGCCCTCGCACGTGTCCCTAGCACCAATCGCAACGCAAGCATTCGCAGCACAGTGCCTCCACTCCTCTTCCCCCTCTCACGTGCCTCGACACTCCCCCTCTCCCTTCGTCTCCCCTTCCTCTCCCGCTTCCCCTTTTTCTCCCTCCCCCGGCGCCCTCCCTCCCCCATGACCCCCGGGCGGCATAGTGGCTCTGGGCAAGTTTGACGCGTTGCATGTGGAGCACAGGGCGCTGGCAGTGCAGGCAGCAGGCATGTGCGGCATGTGCGTGTGCTACCGAAAACCAACCCGTCCCCTTCCCCTCTTCCTCCCTTCTTTTCCCCCCTTCCCACCTTTCACCCTTCCCCTCTTCCCCCATTCCTCTCCCCCCGTGCCGCTTCCCCCTTCCCCCTTTCCCCCATGACCCCCAGGCGGCATAGTGGCTCTGGGCAAGTTCGATGCGTTGCATGTGGGGCACAGGGCGTTGGCAGTGCAGGCAGCAGGCATGGGCGGCACGTGTGTGTGCATGCTCTCGTTTGCCGGCATGGCTGAGGTGCTGGGCTGGGAGAAGAGGTGCGTGCTTCTGCTTCTCATCTCTCTTGCTCTCTCTGCTTCTCTGTGCTTCTCTGTTGCTCTCTGTTCTTCTGTTCTTCTTTGTTGTTCTTTGTTGTTCTCTGCTGCTCTCTGCCGCTCTCTGCCGCTCTCTGCTGCTCTCTGCTGCTCTCATGCTCTCATTGTCCTTCTGCTGCTTCCCGGTCTCGTCGTCGTAACCACCTCGTCTCTGAAGCACCACTCGTTATTAACCACCTGCGCTATCTGCCTGCGCTATTATCTCGTTGTTCCCTGCACCATTCCCCCATTCGCCTCTTCTTCCGTTTCCCCCTTTTCCCCTCCCCCCTTCGCCCCTTTTCCCGTCCCCACCTTCAGGCTCCCCCTGGTGGCCCCCTGCGATCGCAAGAGGGTGCTGCAGCTGTGGCAGCCATACTGCCACGGCCAGCCCATCTGTTTGCCTGCATGCCTGCTCCCTCTAACCCTGTCCCCTGCACCATTGCCCTCTTCTCCCTCTTTTCCCTGCACCCCACCCCCCTCCCCCCAACCCCTCAGGCTCCCCCTGGTGGCCCCCTGTGATCGCAAGCGCGTGCTGCAGCTGTGGCAGCCTTTCTGCCACGGCCAGCCCATCTGCGAGTTCTTTCTGGACTTTGCGCGCATCCGCTCGCTCTCCCCGGAGCAGTTCATCGTGCTGCTGGCGGAGGAGCTAAGAGTCAAAGGGATTGTTGCAGGTGCGCGCTCGTGAGGGTTGGGGGTTTTGATTGGGGGGTTTGGGGGTTGAACGGAAGGGGTGTGGGAGGAGAGTGAAAGGGGTTGTTGCACGCAAGTGTGTGCACTGCCTGTCGGGTGTGTGCACTGCCTGTCGGGTGTGTGCACTGCCTGTCAGGTGTGTGCACTGCCTGTCGGGTGTGTGCATGTGGCAGCCGTACTGCGAGGGCCAGCCCATCTGCGAGTTCTTCCTGGACTTTGCGCGCATCCGCTCGCTCTCCCCGGAGGACTTCATTGTGCTGCTGGCGGAGCAGCTCCGAGTGAAAGGGGTCGTTGCAGGTGGGGTGGGGGCATCATAGGTTCTTGGTTCCTTGCTTGCAAATGCTCGTTCTCCCTGGAGGACTTCATTGTGCTGCTGGTGGAGCAGAACCGAGTGAGCCAGTATGAATTATCTGTCAGAAGATGAAACGTTTTGTGCTGCTGGCGGAGCAGCTCCGAGTAAAAGGAATTGTGGCAGGTGCGCGAGTAGGGGAGAGAGGCATTGCCCGGGGGTTGGGGGTTGGGTATTGGGTTTTGGGGGGTAGACAGGAAGCATGTTTGGGGGAAAGAGAGGGTTCCCTGGCCTTTGCTCTGCCTCCCTGAAGGAGTGTGCTCTTTGGCCCCCACCTCTCCATATCCCCATCCACCTTCCCCCCTCCCCGTTCCCCCCTCCTTTCCCCCTCCCCGTTCCCCCCTCCTTTCCCCCTCCCCGTTCCCCCCTCCTTCCCCCCCCCCTTCCCCCAGGGTCAAACTACCGGTTTGGGTTCAGGGCAGCGGGCACGGCGAGCGACCTGGTGGAGCTGGGGGCGAAGCACGGGCTGCATGTGATGATCGTGGATACTGTCACAGACGCCCATGCGCACATGCACACTGACGTGCTTGCTGACTCCGACCTTGCTCCTGCTGCTTCTACTGCTGCTGCCGGTGCTGCTGGCGTAGCGCCATCACAAGCAGAGGAGGAGGAGACGCATGTGTCGAGCACGCGGGTGCGGCAGCAGCTGTGCGAGGGCAATGTGGAGGCAGTGGCTGTGTTCATTGCCCGGCGACACCGCATCCTTGTCTCGCTCTCCGCCTCCTCCCTCTCCTTCTCATCGCACGCCGCCTGGGGTTCCACTCAGAGCGCTGGTTCAGAGAGTAGTGCTGGCATGAGTAGTGTCAGCAGGAACAGCAGCAGCAGCAGTGGCGGCGGCGGTGGCGCCAGCAGCAGTAGCAGCAGCAGCAGCAGTGGTGGTGGTGGTGGTTGGCAGATGACAGTGGAAAGGCAAGATCTGCTGAACCTAGCCCCTGGTGAGGGCAGGTTCAAGTGCAGGGTGTTAGCACATGACGATGACGAGGAGGGGGAGGATGGGCGCCGGCACAGGGAGGTGCTGGTGGGGGAGGGGGAGGTGGAGGTGGGGGAGGTGCATCTGAGAGTGACGGTGCAGCGGGCTGTGCTGCCAGTGGGACAGCTGCACAGATGGACGTGCCTCATGCTCGAGATCTGATTTGATGTGCCTGCTCGAGATCTGATTTGATGTGCCTGCTCGAGATCTGATTTGATGCTGGAGATCTGTTTAGGCCGGATGCTTCAGATGGGCTGCTGTTGCTGTTGTGGCGGTTTAATGGCTGGCGTGTTTGGTGAAACGGTCTAGAAACTTTCATTGAAGCAATACAATACACCTATCTACAACGGGTAAACTGCATGCATGAATGTGCATGCGTGGGAGGGAGTTCAGTTGGCATGCCGGGGTGGGGACTAACTAGATTGCAGCAGCATATGCCAAAACAACTCTTCACTTGTGGTCTTGTGGTCTTTGACATGAATGTATTAGTGCCATCACCAGTCATGAGAAAGCAACTCTAAAGATCACTCCAACCACATCTACCATCACATCTACCGGTATAATTGGATAATCATCCAACCACACTCGTAAGCACCCAAGCCAGAGATTGCCTCGTATCCTCCCCCCCCTCTTCCCCCCCGAAGCATCATACCGTAACATGTACCAGTACCCAAGTATTGTATCATACCTATTGTACTCACGCACACACATGCACCCAAAGACTGAACGCAAGCAACGTACTCCGGGCTGTGTGACAGGCATGCAGCGCGATGCGATACAATGCGGCCTGATCCTCTGTATTTCCCCAGCACGGCGCTATACAACGAAAACCAGGAGGCAATAACAGGCCTCTTCTTGACACTAGACAAGACGAAGCAAGGTGCATGAGTCACACGACTCATGAGATGCGTCAAAGCTAGATGGTGAGGGCGAACAAGCGGTGACACGACCAGCCCACGGGCAGCCGCGAGTAGTTACCGGTATGAGACGTCTGATCTGAGAACGTGATGTTTGTAACACGCATGGCTAGATGGTGAGGGCGAGCAGTGGCATGATCAGGCCGATGGCAGTGGCGAGAAAGGCAGCTGCACCTGAGGAGGCAGACAGGACAGGATGAATGGGGACAGAAAGCAAATGGGCTTTTCCCTACTCTAGGTTAGGCAGGCACGCAAGCCTTCTGAGACACACAGCAAGGAATGAGAAGAGGGAGGGCAGGCGGCCTAAGTGACTGGAGTCAAATTTGAGAATTATCATGTGACTGGCGTTGGCTTACCACTCGGTTTGCTCGTGCCTTTGCCAGCTGTGGGTTGCGATGCTGTCCCGTTCGACACCCCTGATGTGCTACTATTCTGACTCACTCCACCTGGCGGCATGGTGGCATGGTGGCATGGTGGCATGGCGGCATGGTGCATGGTGGCATGGTGCATGGCGGCATGGTGGCATGTGGAATGCAGCATGTGGCATGCACAAGACAAGGATGAGCTCATTGCACAGGCATCTCAACAAGGCTAATCACTCGAGCCGAGAGATGGCAATGCAGGGATAGCATAACAAGCAGGTTAATCATAGCACAGATCGGTATCATAACATCCAGGAGGAGGAGCACACAAGACAGAAGGCTCACCTAGAGCTGTCATGTTATAAGGCAGCAGAACTGCTCCGATCTGATACACCGCCATCTGGCTCGGAATGTCACCCACTAGAGTACTCGCGAGCAGCTTGTCATAATACACCAGCGGGCTGCCGTCAAGGTCTTCCGCACCAGCAACGCCTGCAGCTGCATCTGCAGCGCTTTGCTCTGTGGAGGTTCCAGACACATTCCATGACCCTACGCCTGGTGAAGAATCTAGTGCTTGGTAGGAGAGCCACATGGGTTGGCCCAGGAGTGTGGAAAGGCTCCAGGGACCTCCTTTTGTGTACTGCATGTGGGATAGGTGTAATGGAATGAAATGCACAATGTCGGATGGTAAAATGGAAGAAAATGGAAGAGGTTTGATGTCTACAGGGTTGAGAATGCAGATAGACGAATGGCTCGGGAAGGGAGGGAGGGCTTGGAGAGAAATGAATCTTGCTTACGTTTAGGTCCGCGATGGCCGGCGGAATGTACTCCGTCAGGAAATGGAATTTCACGAGATTCGCCATCACGCTGGCTGCTCCTGAACTTATGGTCTGGTTCACAATCCAGGGAGGCTGCGCGATGTCAGGCTGATCGACCAGATTTAGAACCTCCTGGAGCGCCGGATTAAATGCCCAAGTTTTGTTATTGTGTTTAGGGTAATTAATCCGCGCACTGTTCCACGCGCGTTTGTCCGGAAGCAGGAGCGTTCCTCTTGGCAGCTCGGTGATACCGCTGACGATGAGCAAGCGCTGCAGGAGAGCCACGTCAGAAACCGTCAACGGCGAGGATTCCCTTTCAATGTACATGTTAAGAGTTCTGATCACTTCTGACACTTTAACGGCCTCGCCGCGAAGCGGGGATTCCACAAGGTTTAAGGCTAGGAGCATCACAATCGTCGAAGCGAACCATCGCGTTCTAGGCTCCATCTGAAACATTCTGGTGAGCGTGTCTGACAGCGGCTCTAGCACTAGCTTGCAATGCAGTCTTCCACTGGGAATTGCAGTGATGCGCTCAGCTCAGATAGAAGAAAGAAACAGCTTCACTTCTACTTTTGCAACAGACACCCTACACCCAAACCAATCATAATTCAGATAGAAGGACGCGGGCACTCCCACCATATTTGCGTGATCGACCCTACGCAGGGTCGTTTTTTTACAGGTTTAAAAAAGGTTGGAGACGTTTTAGATTGAAATTGCAGGTTTCCAGTACGGTGGCGGATCGAAATTGCACTATTGATCGCCGAAATCGATGCGCGCGTCCTTAGCAGACAAGGAGTGCTGGTTGTTTGGTTGGTTGGTTGGTTGTCTAGTCTAGACTCCAGAGAGTGTTCGCATGGTAGCAAACAAGGAGTGCTGCTTTCGTTTCCCGTTCGTCTCATCTCGTGGGGCTCAGCTGGGTTTTACACCATTTCACTTATATGTTATGCTTGCAACTTTCTAACCGAACACATGGGGATTGTTTCAGACTGGACGATTTGAATGTGACCTCAAACGCAGTCCCAGCCAGTGCAAGGATGGCTGGTGTGCTGCACAGTGCAAGGTGTGGGAGTGGGAAGGAAACACCGAATGGCACCGTCTGGACTCTGGAAGACGACATTGGAAGATTCTTTTTAGTGACATTCGGTAAAGGACTCAACGCACCTGCATGTAGTTTTTGGATTGAATCGACTACGGCTATGACAGGCCGGAAAATAGGGTTCTTTACCTTCCGCGGTGATGCTTTAGGCCCCTCACAAACAGTAAATTACATGTGTAAATTTCAATATTGATGCATTGACAAGCTAGCAAAAAAACAACAGAAAAGCAAACTGACTGGCAACTCGAAATCTCTCACAGTCGATTCCCCAATTCCTGCAAGGACCACAACAAACAAAACACAAATGTCGGTCTCTTTCAACGAAAGAAGAAACCTTGAAGCCTAGCTTATCAAGCAACAAGCACCAAGTCCTCAACCATTGCGTCACATGGCCATCACATCCCATCACCTCATCACATCACATGTCCACCTTTCCCACCTTATGCAACCATCCTCTAGCCAAATCAAGCGCCCCTTCCTTGCGCTCGTTCCCTGCTGCCCACTGCCCAATTCTCATGCCTTCACCATCATCCACTCCATTTCCACCTCCCACAATGGACCGACGCCCATGCGTGTAACCGCGTGGTTGCGTAACACTAACATTGCTCAGGCCCTCGGACCCCCCACTTGCCCTCGTCCCCCCACTGCTGCTCCCAAACGTGCTGCGGCTCCCTTGCAAGCCAACAGTGCTGCTGCTGCTCCGGCCACCACTCTCCATGTGAGTGCCTCCATACCCTTTCCTCTTCACCTTCTCATCCCCCCACTCCTCCCCTCCTCGACTTCCCAAGTACATCCCGTGCACTTTCTCCAAGTCACCTCCAACTTCCCCTTCCTCCTCTTCCCCCTCCCCCTCTTCCTCCTCTCCCCCTTCCCCGATCCCCCCATCCCACATATCCCCATCCACCTCCCCTTCTCCTCTCCCCCTCTCCCCCCCATTCACAACCGTTCCCAACTTCTTCCTCCCCCCACCATCCGCCTCCCACCCTCCCCCATTCGTCCACACCTCCTCTCCCCCTGCCTGATGCTGCATGTATGGGCTATCAGGCAACCCATGCCTATAAGGCTGATAGTACTTATCGTACACATGAGCACCTGACTGGGCATGTGAGTTCTCGTGTGAGTGGTTATGGTTATAACCATAGACAGCCCTTGTAGCAGCAGCAGCAGGACCTGCATTATTCTGTCCTCGTATCATCCCACCATTGGCATTGCCTTTTGTATTGCCATTCGCAATCCCTCTTTTATCTGCACCACTCCCAACCACTGCAACCCCCACTGGCTGCCTCCGCCCATTCTCCCCCCACATCAGCACCCTTCCCCGCTCCCCCTTCCGCCCCTTCCCCCTCCCCCTCATCTGCGCCACCGCCCACAAGCCCAGCCCTGCGCCCATCACCCCCCCAACCCGCAGCACCACAGGCGGAACCCCCCCCACGCCCCCCCATTCCCCGCCCATCCCCCTCAGCAAGCGCCAGCCGCCAATCACAGGCCACCCAACGGCCCTCAGAGCCACCCCCAGGGGGGTTCCGACCAGGCTTCCAAGCGCCCTGGGCACATGGAGAGCAGCAGCAAGTGCGTGGGGTGCTGAATCACGGAGAGGATGCAGAGGGCCTAGAGGGTCTGGGGAGTCTGGAGAGTCTGGAGAGTGTGGAGAGTCTACACCAGTGAGTGGACTTAACACTTTCTTCTGCTCCGTTGAACTCATCTGAATCAACACCCTCTCCTCCTCACATTTCCCCTGCCCCTCCTCCCCTCTGCCTCCTCCTCCTCCTCCTCTTTCTCCTCGTCCTCCCTCCTCCTTCTCCTCCTCCTCCCTGCCTCCTTCCCCCTTCCCTGCTGCACCTCGCCTGCCGCTGTTCTGACCCTTCCCCGCGCCACTCCTATTCCCTGTGCCGCTTCTGTTCCCCGTGCCGCTCTTGTTCCCCGTGCCGCTGTGAGGAGAGCTCTTTAAGTACGTGTTTGTGTGTGTGTGGTTAGGTGATCGTAACGGAGACACTTTGCGACGGGGAACTGGGGCCATCAGCGCCTGCTGCTGCTGCTGGTAGTGGTACGGCTGCTGCTGCCCATATAGCTGCTGCTGCTGCTGCTGCTGCTGCTGCTGCTGCTGCTGCTGGTGTTGATGTTGATGTTGGTGCTGCCATGGCAGCACCCGCGGAAGAAACACGCGCATCCCCCCCTGCCCTTGCCTCTCTGCCCGCCGCTGCTCCCCCCTCTCCCCTTTCTCCCCTTTCTCCCCCCTCTCCCTTCCGCCCCCTCCCCTCCTCTCGTCTCTTCCTCTCGCGCCCTTCCCCAACCCTTCCGCGTTGCTCCCGCGACTGGCGCAGCCTCCCCCGTCAGCATCCCCCTCCTGCTGCGCAAATTCCAGCACGCGCACCACCCGCGGAATCCCCTCGTCACCAGCCATTTCCCCGCCAAAGCCTTCACCCAGACCCCTTCCTTCCGCCCCGCGGACCACGTCCCCCTCCGCGCGCGCACCCAGCACTCCGCCCTCTGCCGCGCCGTTCCCGCGCTCGCCCGCGCTTCCCCGGCGCAACTCAACCTCGCGCTCCCCGCCTGCCTTTCCGCGCTGCCCGTCCGCCGTGTCCTCTCCCCCGCGCGCCGTTCCGCCGCCATCCGCGCGGATCCCGTCACTGGCGCAGGAGCCGGGGGCCCGCGCACGGGAGACCGGCGGGGACGACTGGTACGAGGACGGCGGCGCCGGCGGCGGCGGGGGAGGCGCGGGGAGCAACGCCGCTTTGACGCGGATGGGGGAGCGATGCCGATGGTGCGCCCGCGCGGAGGCATCCGCGGCAGGTCGCGCGAGGGGATGCCCCTGCGCGGCGGCGTGCGCGTGCGCGGCGGCGTGGGCGAGCGCGGAAGCCTGGTGCTGCTTATGGTGGCGCGCGGAGACGCGCGAGATGGCGGAGGGGACGGCGGCGGGGGAGATGAGCGGAAGATACGTGGGGCCGGGGGGCGAGGGCGGGTAGGGGTTGAAGGGCGTGCATGCGACCTCCGCCGCGAAATGCAGCACCTCGTCCACGACCTGGGGAAGGGGGAGGGGGAAGGGGGAGGGGGGAAGGGGGAGGGGGGAAGGGGGAGGGAGGAGGGGGAAAGGGGAAGGGGAAGGGGTGAAGGGGAGAGAGAGGGGGGGAAGAGAGGTTGGTGAGAGGTGGGAGAGAGACCGCAGAGAGTGGGGAGACAAGCAGCAGAGGATGGGAGATGGGAAAGGATGGGCATTTGGGCGGATGCATTCGGGAGTAAGTAAGCACACACACGACCTAGGACTGGTCGAGCACTCATACCTTTTACCATTCCCTACCCTCTTTATCACTCTCTCCCTCTTCCGCTCACTCTCCCCACTATCTCCTTCCCACTATCTTCCCCTCTCTTCCTCCCCCTCTCCACCTCTCCCTCCCCCTCTCCCCCTCTTCCCCCCTCCCCACCGATGGCGCACCTTCCATTCGCGACCGCAGTGGCACTTGGCCTGCGACCACAGCACGCGCGTCACCAGCTGCACCTCGCGTACCACGCGCTTCTGCTCCGCCACGTTCCCCGCCACGCCCACGCCCGCCGCCCCCGCCGCCGGCGCGCGCGACGTCGGCGTCTGCTCCGCTCCACCCCCACCCCCACCTCCGCCCCCGCCTCCCCCGCGCCCCCCCCCTCCCTTCACCCCCCCGCGCTGTTCCTCCTCCGCGCGCCGCTCCGCCATGACCGCCGCCGCCGCAGCCGCCGCGACCTGGCGCCGCTCGTCCAGCTCCATTTCCATGAGCTGCTCCAGGTGCCAGTCTAGCATCTCGAGCGCGTCTCTAATCGACATCAGCACGCGCGCCTCGACCGTGCGCTCCCCCGGAACGCCCTTGTCCGCCTGCCCGCCCTTGCGCGCAACTTCCGCCTGCTTCTCATACGCGTGCTGGTACCCCAGCTGCTCGCACTCCTCGTGATCCTCCTCTGCTACTCCTCCTCCTCCGCCGCCGCCGCCAGCGGAGCACCGGAGATCCACCTTCGCCTCCTCCCGCGCGTGCCCCGCCAGCCCCGCCAGCTCCGCGCGCGGGGGAGGCTCCTCTCCGCCCGTGCGCGCGTCTTTGTCGCTCGCCCGCTCGCCGCTTTTCACGACGCTGGCGACGGCGACGGCGTCGTCGGCTGCGGCTTCGGCAAGGCGAATCGCGTCGACCGACACGCTTCCCTTTCCCTCCGCGTGCCTGCGCTTGCGTGGCGAACGGGTGGCGGGTGACGTGAGACGAGTGACGGGTGACGGGGAGAAAGGAAGATGCGCAGCGGAGGGTGAGGGTAAGATCGAGTGACAGGGGGGAAAAGCGCAAGATCAAGGGCGGATGGCGGATGGCGGATGGGGGATGGCGGATGGCGGATAGGAGGACATTCGCAATCTGGGAAAAGGAACGGAAGAGGAACGCTCCCAGCCGCTCGTTCTGAGCCCAATCGGAACGTCGTGCAACGGGTCCTATTGGCCTCATCCTCTGGCCTTCGTGATTTTTCTGGCCCGAATTCTGCGGCCATTTTCTGGCGGAGAGCATAGGGGATTAGCAGTGAAGCATGCATGTACGTGGAGCAGCAGTGCATTGCCGATGGCAGGCGACGCAGATCTCGACGACTTTTGAGACATCTCAAAAGTCATTCGCACTGAAGCATGCATGCATGTGGAGTAGCAGTGCATTGCAGATGGCAGACGCTGCAGATCGCGACGCGAAGCACATCCGCCACGGCAAAAGCGGCAGCGCGCGCATCTACCCCGCTGAGCACCCGATTCCAGGGATGAGCGGCGAGCGGGGAGCGAGGAGCGGTGAGCGGGGAGCGGGGAGCGGGGAGCGGTGAGCGGGGAGCGGCGAGCGGGGAGCGAGGAGCGGTGAGCGGTAAGAGGTAGCCAACCCAGCTCACCTGCGCGGATGCACGGGGGTCTGCTCCTTTCTCCCGCCGCCATGCTTGCCGCTCTTGCTGGGAAGCAGCTTCACCGACACTGATAGCTCGGGCACGTCGTGCAGCCTGGCGCGGGAGGTGGGTGGGTAGCATCCGCATTATAAGAGTGTTGAATGAATAAGTGAATGAATAATCGAACAGGCAGAAGATTAATAATCAAGAGAAACAGCAGCTCTAGCGACGTCGACATCTCTGCGTGACGCCTGCGGCGGAAACGTCCGGGGACGGGGGGGGAGAGGGGAGGGGGGGGTGGTGGGGGCGCGGGGGGATAGGGAGAGAAGGGGGAAGCGGAAGGGGAGGGGGGACGGCGGTGGAGGAAACGCCACGGGGAGCGGGAAACACGGCTACGGATGCAGTTCCGCGGCGCGCACGCATTTCAGGTTTGAGAAAGTTGGAATGACACGATAGCATTATCCGCAGGCTATCACCGACTTAGATTTTGTAAAAGAGAGGCTCTCCGAAGGTTCTCTGATAGAAGAAACGATCAGCCGGACCGCGTACCGCGGCTTAAGCTGGCCCGCAGCGAGGTAGAAATCGCTCTTTAGAATCCGCTCGATTGCGTCACTGACTTGCTCGTGCAGCTGCACGGCCCGTCGCACCATGGCGCCCAGATGCTGCTGTCCCATGGCTGCTTCCGCGCGTCGAAGTTGCAGGCGAACCGGATTACAATCTCAAGCAGTCGAGGTTTTTTTCGTCGTGCGTGGCAATCATTCGCAGATTAGAGCTTGTGTTCGCATGACGCTCTGTAAATGTGCTACGAAATGCGGCCCTCGTGCGTCGTTGGCAAAACAAACGGTCGCACCCGATGAGGGCCGGAAAAAGAGTGAGTAGGGAGTGGGCCAGTGAGAGATGCCCGTAATCTCGTCACGCTAGAGTGAAGCTCACAGCCATTGAAGCATTGAAATTAGAGGAATCGAGGATCCAGTTTGAATGGGCTGAAGATCTCTAGGATGGGATGGGATGGGATGGGAGATGTGGTGTTTGTAATGTCCCTTGGCGCGGTGTCAGCGCAGGTCCAATGACTGGAGTGTTGTGCGACGAGACGATTCGTCGTCGAGATGCCCTGCGACGAAATGGCGAGGCCGTAGGCGATGCGATCCGTTCCAGCGGGATGGGTTGGGGACTATGAGGAGGATGGGCCGATGGCGATGGGTGGATGGCGACGCATCGTTACTACAGAGAGCAGGTAACTAACGACGTTGCCGCTGGCCGTTTTGAGTGGATTGCTGCGTTACTGACCATTTCGTATGACGCGAACTCTGCACGAAAATGTATGCGACTTCTGCGACAGATGCACATCTTCTGCTACATTTGCGCTACAGAACCTCTTCGCATGAGATCGATCATGGGGGTAGCTTTTGAACTTCGAATTGAGGGCAGAGTGTCGCACGGGGTCGATCATCGCAAATGTATGCGGACAGAGAGCTGTTCGTCAGCGCGTCAGCTGACGTGGCATGATTGGTGGGAAATTGAATTTGAGGGCGGGAGCTGACAGTCAGGAGCAGCACAAGGCACAATCTGCTGGGCGTCTGACACAAACATTATCGTTCCTCAGGAGTGGACTCACTACAACAACTGGTTGAAACATGTATTTGTACGGAAACAACCTTTCCTTGTGTCATCACCTCTACCGCATTAGAGCACTATTCCCTCCATTACGATCAAACAATCTCGTTACCACCCCGCGACATTCTCCTCAATAAATGTTCCCGCCACCACATCCATCGCGCCCAAATCAGACGGCTCGGCTGGTAACCCGCTATCCGGCCCTTCTCGACAATTCCCAACCTCGGCGGTAGGCCGGTAGGGCACCCCTTTGTTCACTTGTTACCGTTACCATCTTGTTTCGCTAATTAAAACTTTGCTAATGACTTTGCTCATTGTATTCATTTTTTTCAAACGTGCAATCCTCGCTCGCTCTCTCAATTGCAATAGTAACTCATGGTATTCAAGTCACGCTCTTTTCGAACCGTGTACACCTTTGCTTCCAAATCGTTCATTTTTTTTTAGGGGGCTGATGTCCCTCCCTGAGTGCCCGGTACTGCTGCTCGAGTGCTCTCTCGTAAGCACGCACAGCCACGACTGAGACTGCCACACACGCCCCCAACGAAATCATCGCCCTCGCCGAGAAGATCGTTAACATACGACGACCGAGCACGACACGGTATACACCGTTGGGACGAACATAGCTGTCACGCCATTCCGATAACGCTGCTTCGCGTGCACTAGGCCGGGCCACCGCAAGAGTGAGTGTCATGAGGAGCAGGGAGCAGAGCAGGAAGGGAGTCTAGGAGGCAGCGAAACACTAGCAGTCACTAGAGAATGGCCCACTAATGACGAGACCTATTGCTCGCCCTGACCCACTCACCCTCACTGGGTGGCAGTTATGATTCGAGCAGTCGATCGAACTCGGCTGAATCAGGAGGGTACAGCGACAGATTGCCCAGTACTGATTCACGAGAAAAAACAGGGCGCGACAGTGAAGGTTTTCATCGACGGATGTGCTAGTCACAGTTTAGTTAAAACCGCGGCTGCAAGGAAAATGCAACTGATAGTTAGCCTATGCTTACTTGAGATCGACGATCGTTTGGTCGACAGCACACAACTGGCAATACGGGAAAAATGTGGACAGGGTTAGGATTCGTTGCGGGAGTAACTTCGGCTTTACACAGAAAATGCTGGCAACAACATTAGACGTGACATATATTTTACTGGGACGTGATTGGCTGCGACGGTACAACACGCAAATTGACTTGACAAAAGGCACTGTGCGAAGTGGGGTTAGCTGGATCCCTTTACTTCGCTGGCAGTCGCCTCAGTCTTCAACGGTCCATGTCAACGCCTTCGCGATGAAACATGCTATCATATGAGGAGCTGACGTGTACGCTGCTGACACCTGGGAGATAGGGGAAGTAGAGAACCAAGCGATTTTCAGAAACTGCTAACGGTTGTACCACATGAAATTAGAATTTTACTTAAAACCCAAGGTCAATAAGTTTCAAACTTAGGAAGGTTGGTTTAGGGTTTGAAACACGACTTGCTCGCAAACCAGGGTGGTGTCGAAGTTTGTGGTCGCGGGCCGCAGAGTATAAAAGTATCGCGAGTGTAACCAGATATGGAATGCAATGTGTGAATTCGTGCGCATACTATTTTGGACAGGCTTCAAATCTGTGTGCGAAATCGTCATTTCTATCGTCCTTTCTAGGACAGTAGTTTCGCATCGCAAAAATGGAACGTGCGATGTGCGAAGTGAGTCGGTATCTACTGGTTCACACCCAACCAAAGTTAGGAAGGTTGAGGCATTTTGGAAAGACCAGGGACTCCGGTTTTTAACAGTACCCGCGATCTATGCAGATGATCTACCGGAGGGACAGTCACATCAGCGAAAGCGCGATCATAAAATAGAGTTAGAACTGGCGGTACAGCCAACCGTACAACGACAGTTCCGACTGACACAGCCATAGCTAGAGGAATTGAAGAAGCATTTAGATTACTTGATCGAGAAGAAAGTTCATCCCACCGTGTTCGCCACCGTTCGCTGCACCGATACTGTTCACACAGAAATAGGACGGGAGTTTTTGCATGCCCATTGACTACCGAGCAATGAACTGGGTTACTGTTAAATCGTGGTACCCCATTCGTCGTGCTGACGAACTGATCAACCAGTTACGCACCGCTCGCTTCTAAAAAAAAAAAAAGATATACGAGGAGGTTACCACCAGATCCGAATCGAACCGACAGACTGCGCCAAGACAGCCTTTAAAACCAGATACGAATCATTTAAATACTCGGTAATGCCCTTCAGACTGACCAACGCTCCCCATACTTTTCAAATGACCATGAACGACGCATTTCGAATTTTGTTAGATGAGTGCGTGATATTTGTTAGGTGATATAAGTACGTAGCCGACCTGGACGCCTTGCTTAAAATTTTAGTGTTTAGTGTACGAGTTTTTTCAAAGCCATTTAGAGTTTTTGAGTCATGTTACTTTCGAACCCGTAGTCAAAATCGATATGAAATTATTGGATATTGTAAAAGCGTGGCACCCGTCAACAAGCATCATGGAACTACTGAGTTTTTTATGGGATTTGTTAACTATGTGCATTGGTTTGTCCCCGACATGGCCAAGTTAACAGCCCCACTGACATACTTGCTAAGGAAGGGGGTCGTCTACACGTAGGGGGAGAAAGAGCAAGCTGCCTTCTCTGTAGTGAATAACGTACTTTGCTCGCCGCCTATTTTGCGCATTGCTGACCCACACACACCTCCCATTCGAAGTAGTCATAGACGCTAGCGACATCACGATCGGAACTGTATTGCTACATGTCTTTGGTGACATACCACAACCGATCGCATACGAGTCGGGCAAATTGCATACGCCCGAGAAGAATTTCCCGATACACAACCGCGAAATGCTCGCAAGAGTTTATAATTTCAAAGTTTGGCGATGTTACCCGACCGGCGCAAACGTGTGACAATACAGACATACCACCGATCGCGCATAGCTCCACCTCAACCCTCGACATATTCGCTGGTTGTATTTTCTAGAGGCAAACTTCCACTATACGGTTACCTACTATAATAATGGATCCCTGAATATCGCTGACGCACGGACCCGCTCGACTGCCCAAATTCACGCCATCCTACTCGCCTAGACCAGCCCACAGCTCAAAGACATATTTACCCACGGATACCAACCAAAGCCATTCTTCACTTGTGGCAACTCACAGCAGTTTGCAAAGATACAAGAGGCGTAATACGTAAAACCCGGCACCAACTGCATCTGGGTATCGGGCTACCCCTTACAGGGGGAACTGCTCCTACAGGAGTCACACAAATCGGAGCATCCTGGGGTAGAGAAATCCCGGCAACAGCTACAGATGTATTATTACTGGTCGGAGATGCTGACCGACGTACAGAGGCATGTGGCTTCAAGCCCCACTTGCTTGCTCATGAAATCATCACCATTAAAGTCGGCAGGACAGTTAGAGGCTACCCGAGAGCGTGCTCTGCAGCAAGTGTCGATGAACTATATGTCAGAATACTAAGCGAGGATGAATGAACTAGCAGCATGCAGGAGTACAAGTAGCAAACCCTAATTGGGTTGTACCCCATATGGGCTACCCCACTACAGCCTACACAACATGCAGCATATAAGTTTGACACTTTATTACGGGGATACGGGCTGGGGCAAGTGGTAACGACGCAATCCTCGTGGTCGTCGATTGGGTGACGAAGATGGCACATTTTGCACATGGAAGAAAACCATCTCCGCCGAAGAAACAACTCAACTCATAATTTCCACTGTTGTTTGCCTGCACGGGATACCAGCGACGATTATCAACGATCGCGTCACAAATGTCACAAGGAACTTCTGGAGGACCTTGTGGCAGCAGTTCGGTACCCGACTACAGTTCGGCTCCTCGTACCACTCCGAAACCGACGGACAAACTGGGCGCACCAACCAGAGCAGTTGATGTCCCGACAACCTGGAAACAGCAAGTGCCACTCATCGAATTCACCTACAACAACTCGCCATCCGCCACCACCCAACAATTGCCATTTTACCTCAACTACTGTAAAGACCCCACAGTACCAGTA